CGGCGAGTGGCTGCTCTGGAAATGAGGCAGACATTTCAAATCTCTTAACGGCTGTGGGACCCTTGGGGACATGCCAGAATGGGGAGTGGGAGTCCAGTTTTCCTCATGGTCTGTGGTTGCCTTTGTTCCACCTCCCCCCAGCAAAGTGGCAGGCAGTTCCATGGGTCAGCTGAGAAGGAGCCTCTTCACTGGGGCTTTTCTGAGAGTCGTGAGGGGAGGGCAAATGATATAAGCCTCTATTATATGTGGGAAGGAAGGAAGGAAGGAAGGAAGGAAGGAAGGTTTCTGACGCTCCCTGCCAGCTTCCCACAACAAAGTCAGTGGGGAAGCCAGCAGCAAGTTGCAAGTCGCTCACACTCCCACTGCTTTTTTGCCCTTGATCATTCTGTTTCTCTGTTTAGGTAAGGAACTGTCTCTGAAAGGATGACCCAATGGATCATGGGTTGTCTAATTATCCCCCCAAAGTGCTCCCCATCTTTATGTGGTCCATGGATTTGACAATATTTAGTTGCTTCTTTAATGCCAAATATTGACCCTAAGTAAGTGAAAGCAAATGGATTTCCTGGTTCTGAATTTATCAGTTTAAAATATTTCATATCTTTATAGACTGTAAGCATATTTTTCTGTTTTAACATATAAGGCGAAACAGTTATTAATACCTATCTTTCTGTCTCAAAGCATACTAGCCGGGCACTTGGCTATAGAATATTTTAACCTCTTCTTGTGATTATTGGAGCAGCTTGTCTTCCTAAACAATAGTTTTTTCTCTTCTTTTTCCTTCCCAGAATCTAATCCAGATTTACCAGTTCATGTCTTTACTACTGGAATGATAATGGCCATAATGTTTTCCTTTGTTGCTGTAATGATGGTGATTCTCTGTGTAATATTCAAGATTGAGCTTTTTTTATTGTTCAGAGTTATAACAGGAAAGGATGAAACATTGGAAGGTAAAATGGCTGGTTCTACTTAATAATGAATTGTGCTGATTTAAATCCATAAGTATCTGTGGGGAAGAGAAAAGAAATTATAACTCCTTCACTTTTCATTATTGCAGCCCTTCTCTATTCTGCAAAAAGGTAGGAATTAGGGATATAGAGTTGTAATGGAGTTTCATAATTGTTCTATAGGACTCCGAAATGGGCAATTATTTATTCTATCCACTCTGTTTCTATCCCCTCCATTGGACCCCTGTTTACTCTGGAGTAGACAATCTACTATTTGATTGTTGGTACAATAAATGAAATAAATACAAATAAATGAGTCGAAGCGAAGTTGCTGTTCAGACAATTGAACAAGGAAATAGGAGAGTCTACATGAATGTCATTCCTATAAATAATGGTGGGAGAGAAGTATGTCAGAGGAATACCCTGACTCTGAGTTATTTATTTATTTTTAGATGGAAAACTATATGATGCATTTGTGTCTTACCTGAAAGACTCTACACCAATATGTGGTGAAGAGAGAAAATTTGCCCTGGAGATACTACCTAAAACATTAGAAGATCATTTTGGATACAAGCTGTGCATTTTTGAACGAGATATTTCTCCTGGAGGAGGTAGGTGGATGGGATGAGATTATCATAAAATATAGTGGTTAAGTATCTTTTTCTTTTGCTTAAATTTAAAATCAGCCACTTAGTTTCTTAGAAATAGCACTACTGAGATTAGAGAATGCCTTGCTTCTCTTCCTTATGTTAAAAAAAAAAAAGATATTTGCTCTAATTTTGCAGAAAAGTGCTGAAAGTCCTCCTGGGTTACTCTTTTGCTCAAATCAGAAACATTGGGATGAATTAAGTCGTGGTTCTAGATGTGTTTTATGTTTGTTTCTGAAGATATTGCAGATACAGGTGGTCCCCAGTTTAAGAACAAGTTCTGTTCCCAAGGTCTGTCCTTAAGTCAAATTTGTATGTAAGCTGGAATAGTATTATTCTATAATACTGTTTGAGTAGTATTGTGTAATGAACTTGAACCATTGTATATTTAACTTGAAGTTTGCTACAGTAGGCTCCATTCTTAACTATGGGTCATCCGTAAACTGGGCGTTCTTAACCCTGGGACCACCTGTAACATCTTATAGGCCTCCCTGCCTCCCTTCCTGCCTTCCTTCTTACTTCTCATTTGAATTTCCCCTAGAGCTCTGAAATGAGGCTGCTGCTGCATCAAAAATAATTTTATTGTTTAACTAATAAATTTACAACCTTTTTTGTATAAAACATTAACTAAAAACCAGTAAAAGCTGAGTGAGATTACATAGAAATCAAATAAATCTGATCAACAGATGCTAGCAACCGAAGACAAGCTAACCACTTTGTATTGAAATAGACAGCACTAGCTGATCTTGGCTAACGTTGAAAATATAAGTAAATTTATTATTATTTTTCAAACTGTTTATTGGCAGACAAGCTAAGAATTATATTATCTCTTGTAGATCACATGTGGTTATTTCAAAGTATTATTATGAATATGTAACTTTTTCCCTCTTTCTTCAGCCAGCTGTAACCACAACCTTTTCTATTTACAGCTATTGTTGATGATATCCAATCATTCATTGACAGAAGTCGAAGATTAATTATTATTCTGAGCCGAAACTATATCTCTGACCAAGTCATGTTTGAGCTAGAGATTGGATTGCATAAAGCCTTGGTTGAGAGAAAGATCAAAGTCATATTAATAGAGTACACGCCAAAAAGTTACTTTGATTTCTTGCCCAAGTCTTTGGAACTTCTTTCTTCCAGCCAAGTGGTGAAATGGAAAGAAGAAAAATCACTGCCTTTAAATTCTAAATTTTGGAAAAAACTTCGCTATGCCATGCCTGCCAAGCCAACCATGTCAGCTGTTTGCCAAGGGGTAACATTGCAGGACAGACAGAAAAGAACAAGTGCGTTCTGTATTACACCCAAGCCGTCAATTGCCTGCTACTAGGTTTTCATCGTTGTTGCTGGAGATGGCTCAGTGTTGGAAGTAGAACTTGAAAGACAAGAACATGTCCCCAGATGCTCAGGTGCTGCAGAACTGGGGCTGGGGGCTTCAGGTTGCCCCACCTATTTCATTAAGCTTGGTTTCAGGAATCTCTTTATGTTTTTTGGCTCAATATGTAGATTCCATACTGTTGTCCTTTTTTTATAAGATGTGTCAAAAGGGAAGACTTCTGCCTTACAGAATTATTTGCAAAATGGGGGTCCAATGTCAACATGTCAAAGAACAAGCATGTTTCCTTTGTATTTGATTGATCTTTGTACCTAAATGCAGTAGATGCTGATGAAGAATAAGAAGCCCCATGAAATGCAAGAGAGGCAGATCAAAACACTGCAACATCAACTAGAATGATGCAGAAGATGTAAGCTTCATGATAGCCCTGTTGAGAGATGGTTGACTTACTGTTTACATTGTCCCCAATTAATAGCAAGAACTATGTTTGGAGTTCAGCTCTGTGTATGTGTTTGTGTGAGAGAGCAACACTGGGAAAAAACACTGAAAGACACCAATTATATGAGAAATCATTGAGTCTTGTGTTACTTAAACTTGGTGCAGGAATCCATAACCTGACTCAGCCACAGTTTTACTTTTCATCTGGGCATTGCTCACATGAAATACGTTTAAAAGGAACAGCTGCCATGGCAATACTCTACTTTTACAGAAACTCCATTTTTACAGAAACCCTTAGGTGTCCATAGATGAATATAGCATCTGTCTACAACTGTGATGGAGGACTTGGATGAGGAGGTTCAAGGACAGAAGCATTTCTTCAGCCCACAGCCTGAGCCTGGGAAAGCGAAGAGGATGAGACTGGCACCAGCCTAAGGCATTTGTAGTGTTTAGTTGCAGGCTTTGGGAGTTTAGAGTGAGTCTGGCGAGATTGATGTTGGGTTCAGCCCAAGAAACTCCACAAGACACTACTGGAACAGCTCAGTTACTTTATTAGCTCGCACCTGCTAGACAGAATCTCACCAGACTCACTCTAAACTCCCAAAGCCTGCAACTAAACACTACGAATTCCTTAGGCTGGTGCCAGTCTCATCCTCTTCGCTTTCCCAGGCTCAGGCTGTGGGCTGAAGAAGTGCTTCAGTCTCATCCTCTTCGCTTTCCCAGGCTCAGGCTGTGGGCTGAAGAAGTGCTTCAGTCTCATCCTCTTCGCTTTCCCAGGCTCAGGCTGTGGGCTGAAGAAGTGCTTCTGTCCTTGAACCTCCTCATCCAAGTCCTCCATCACAACAACTCTTTAAAGCACTAGTACCTTTCCTGAGGCCCTTCTGCTGCCAAAGGTTCCTGAGAAAGGCTGTAGTTGCTTTAAGAAGATGCAGACTGGTGTTACATATGTAACCCAGGTGCTCTGAAGCATTTGCCTTCAAATATGGAATGCTGTATTCCAATCAGCATATAAAATACACATCTATAACTCGCATCTAGATTATCAAATCAGGCTGGCATCAACCTGAGCAAATTAATGTAATGCTACTGCAAGGAGACTAAAACATATTTGCAATATATAACAGTTTATTAACCTGGAACAAACTAGGGTTGTATGTGATGACAGATTAAATTTGATGGATTGGGTGGGTCTCGTGGGTGCTCTTGCACCAGTAGAGGAACTTCTCTTTACAAAGTATTTGCTTTAGGAGAGAATTCTTCAATGAAGGCATACATAGTCTCAAATCTCAGGTCTTCTAGAGCCATCAGGTCCTTGAAGGGTCATTTTTACTGTGTCAGAAAGAAAATAATATTAAAGTTATAAAAATTGGATTAGATTTAGCTTTGGTCCTGGCCTCCCCACTTCTTTAACTTGGACCGATGTCCTTTTTGGTTACTCAGTCCTATGTTCCAATTTGTGATGGAAAAATTATCTACCTCTGCGCAATCCTCTCTGCATACTCATGACTCAGCTTACACCAGTGTTGTCCAAACTTGGCCACTTTAAGATGAGTGGACTTCAACTCCCAG